GCGCACTGAGTGCGCACTACGCGAGTGTCGTGCGATCAAATGAACACGTGACACTAACCAAGTGCTATTGGCACTGCCAATCGAACACGCTCGACACTGAGTGCAGCCAGTGCACCCCAATCGAAAACGCTATAAGTAGTGTATCAAATGTGGTCGACAATAATGAAAGAGAGAGAGGGACCGTTCCCCGAACCTCCTCCCGTCCCTCCGCTCCTTTCTCCCAAACTATGTCGCCTGCTCTTGGCATTCATGAAGGCCAAGGAGCTTTTCTTTTAATTCTTCCCCTTCCCTTCTCCTTTGGCGCGCGACTCACCGATGGGTGGTAGCAGGCGTCTGGAGATGGGGCCGCAGTGTTGCCAACTTGGGGGTTTTCCCCCCAAATTTAGGGGGTTTTTAAGCTGCGAGGGGAATTTTAGGGGGTACAAAAATGCTAGGGGTTTTTTGGGGGGGAATAAATGTTCATCAATCATTGGCTGCGTTCAGCAGACTCAGCAGTTTTGCAACCGTTTTATAATTCGTCGCGCTGATTGATTTATACTTTTAGTTTTAAAGGAATAGTCCAATCTCAGCAAAGAATCATGGGTGCGATAATACTGATGGTCAGATACTATCTAAAGATTGATAATATATCATGCGTTAATTTTAAGCCAACGGAGGCAATGATAAAAAAATTTAATGTATCTATGTACGATCATAAAAATCAGAACGATTGTCACGAAATCAACCTGTTTTACGAGACTATGGAAATAAATAACATATAAAATTGTAAAATATGGTTTATTTAAAAAAAAAAATTACATAGTTATCATTATTTACTTTTTGGCGATTTGTGCTTCTACAAAAATTAAGATTTAGGGGGATTTGGGGGGATTTCAAATTCAATCTGGGGTGAAGTTAGAACAAAGGGTTGGCAACACTGGATGGGGGGGATATCGAGATTGCGCGTCATCACAACAAGACAGCAACCCCTTAACGTATAACAACCAGATATGCAGACCTCATTGACCTCAATGGCCTAGTTTCAGCCTGGTTGGCTGCCTGGCCAAATATCAGGAAGAAGAAGAAGAAGAGAGGGACCGTGGGAGACGGCCAATCTCCCTCTCATTCTCTCTCCAATTACACCATTGAATGGAAAGAGATAGAAATGGCTGTCTGCCACGGTCCCTCTCTCTCATCCCCACCCTATCGACCATTTTGACACACGGATCGCGCAGTCTATTCTCTGGCCCGTATTCAGAACGCGCTTTTATCGATAAAAGCGCACTTTTATCTCTGAAATTCTATAATATGCGTGACGTAAAGTATGGTATGTTAGCGTGCTAACATCGTTGTAAGCGCGTTCTGAATATGAGCCTATGTCTTTGGGGAATTGTTATGGTTATGGTTATGATTCATTTTAGATTTTTTTCTCTTGTTGATGAACATTTATCTTTTTCCCTCTAACATATACCATATGTATGTCTATCTTATTTTAAGTGCAGAAAGTGCTACATAGTGCAGCTACAAAGGTAATTTATCTAAAATAGTATGTTGGAGCATGTTGGGTGAATACATGCAAGTACTCGCCATATGGCAAGTACTCAGCATTCTCACGTGGAACTGTCACTCTAATGTCAATCTCGTCATCTGTTAAAGCAAACCGACACACAATGGAATCAAGTTATTTTAACAATATTGTGAACTCGGAGTACAGTCGAAAAAATGACGGACGTATCGAATATGGAACTGCTGGCTTTAGAACAAAGTAAGCGCGAGTTTTTTTTTAAGTCAATTGACACTTGTCGAGTCTATCTTTTATAATAATATACTTATTACTTAACTTATAAAAATCTTTTGCTGAATTTTGCAGAATGCTCTTTATTTACTTCATTCTTTGTCATTCATGTTCATATATCTAATACAAGCTATACAAAATGTTTCGTATGTTTAAGATAATTTGATATATGTATCAATTTTAGGTCGGATATCTTGGAGCATGTTTTATACAGAATGGGCCTCCTAGCTGTGTTACGATCTAAAGCAAAGAAAGGTAAAGACATAAGGGCATTCTACAATGCGTTGCAAACAACCGTTGCCAGTTAAAATGTTTGTCACGACAACCAATCAAAAGTATAAATAATACCATTAACGCTTCTAATTGATTGTCGCGACAAACGTTTCAACTGGCAACGGATGTTTGCAAGGCATTGTAGAATGCCCTATAGTATAATACATACCCAGATGATAACAAAATGTCCATGGTTGCTGTTAATTTGCTTGAAATTGCTTTGTTCAAATTGTTTTCAATACTGAATAAAGCAGCTTCTGATGTTAAAGATTACCTATTTTTACTGCCATCGACGGTTGACTTGCTGGCAACACTCAGGCGAT